ATTTCAAGATACGAAAGGTAAAAATACAGTATGGGCTGGTAGTCGCAGCTCCGAGGTTCCTGAATGCAACATACTTATATACATACATGGCAATGGCCTGTGATGAAAAAAGCGGAAGGGGCGTGGCCTGGACGGGGGCGTGGCCTGGACGGGGGCGTGGTTACTTACAAAAGTGGCACTAAACATGCTGAAGATGAAGTGTATTAAATTTACACACTGTTTGAAAATTGAACAGAAAAAAATCCCAAGATCGCCACTATTCTTTCAAGTGAAAATTTGTGCAATTTTGCCTATGCATTCCTGGTGAGCACCAATATGTAACTCCAAATTTGCTGCTAAAAATCAAAACAAAAAAAGTAAACACATCCCCTGCCATATTTAAGATTTGTTCATGACTTGTATTCATAAAGTGTTGTGTAAATGTGATAAAAAGCTGTTGATTCTTACCTCATACAGTGATAGTGAATATTTATTATGCATACAATTTATTATGCATAACCGTGCTTTATTATCCAAGACAAAACGTGAATTATCAAGATGAATATAAAACGCAAATAAAAACAAATAAATGTTATCATGCTGTTGCTACAAATGCATACCAAATAAAAGTGAAAATATCATCCTCGTATATTTGAATAAAAAAGTATATACCTCGGAGTGTACCTGTCTATCGGCGAGGGGCGTCAGTGGAGCAGATTTCGTTGCTTGGTTCAGCCAAAGTAAGTACCCCAGCGCGTAACGTCTTTAGTTGTATCCGCTGACGAAGTTTGTTTGAAAAATGCCGATCCCAAAGAATAATTGCTCCGTCGAATGGCGATTTTGTCGGCATGTTTTTTCACTTTTGTTGCATGATCTGTCAGTGCCACGCATCCACGGGAGCCATAGTTAATTAAGTCACTACAATACACACAATAAGCTTTGCCTGCTACGTCTGGTTTCTTCAAAAATTGTCCAAGAGCTTCTGTAACTTCGTCGAACTTAAACCAATTTTAACCTTTACAGTGACTTTTCTGTCAAGCCAGTCCAATCGGAATTTATTCTTGACATTTGAGTCAATTTCTAGGATTAAAGACTCCTGATCTTTCGTCAAAAATTTCATAATTCCGCTCAAAACGATCCCAGAACAATGAATTTGCGAGACGAACAGGCCGCCATGAATCAGGTAAAACAATATGTTACATGCAATTTGATTGGTCCAATCGCTTGTAGTTAACCAATCGCTGGGCCGTTTATAATCGAGCTAAGACTTCCGCAACAAATAATGCCTTCAGTGATCTGATTAGTTGAAGCTTTCATACACGTCCAATCGCAGGGCTGTTTACAAACGGAAAACGGAGAGACTGTTCGGGAGAGCTCGTGAAAACTCGACGATAAGGTACCTGACCGCCCCTAAAATTTTCTCAACGGATTTAGACGATTCACAAAAATGATCAATTTAAGAAATAAAACGGCGGATTTCCGCGAATCCGCGGAAAATTGCCATGTATGTATATAGCTGCTCTGCAATTGGCTGTTTCTGAGCATTATCCTGGCATCCCATTGGCTAAGAGGGACTTTCACCACGTGTCTTTGCGTAGAGAATAGATAGAAAAGTTGTTAAGGTTATTATATTGTCTGTCTACAAATCTGGCTCTACCATTTGTCAGTGGTGGCAATGGCGAGTGATGGAAAAGGCGGAAAGGGGCGTGGCCTAGACCGGGGCGTGGCCGGGACGGGGCGTGGTTACTGACAAAAGTGGCACTCAACATGCTGAAGATGAAGTGTATTTGATTTTACACACTATTTGAAACTTGAACAGAAAAAAATCCCAGGATTGGCACTATTCTTTCAAGTGAAAATTTGTGCAATTTTGCTTCTGCATTCCTGGTGAGCACCAATATGTAACTCCAAATTTGGTGCTCAAAATCAAAACTAAAACAGGAAACACATCCCCTGCCATATTTAAGATTTGTTCATCACTTGTATTCATAAAGTGTTGTGTAAATGTGAGAAAAAGCTGTTGATTCTTACCTCATGCAGTGATAGTGAAGTCCCACACTGTTTACTACAGTGAAACTCCTCTACAACAAAATCATGTTTGCAGCAAGAATTTTTTCACAACAGGGGGTTTTTCACTGTAGCAAATTTGATCTCAGATGTAAGCACACGCACACCCACAAATGTATGTGTACACCCACACACAAATGTATGTGTACTCTATTTTTATTCCAATAGTGCATAAGTATGAGCACACACTTATTTGACACTTCAGATTGTCAGTGTAGAAAAAAATTACGAAATTTACGATCAGCATTCACTTTCACTTACATCAATTTCTTGGATATTGTCTGTGATTTTGCTTGCTCTGTCTTTCATTTTGATCACTTTTACCCTCTCTTCCAGCATCAGAACTCTTGTCTTAGCTGCTTGACAATCCAAAGGTCCGTTTTGTAGCCATTTTAGCAATGCAACGTCCATCCTCGTCTGAATCTAACAATAACAAACACTTCCTGGCATGCAATGAACTTTTAAACCAGCCACGGGACGCTTCGTAGTCCTCGATGGCCTGAGTTAGCTCTCGAAGGCTAAAAACCTTACGCTAACTGGAGCGCCTCTGTCTCATTAGTGATCAAGTTAGCGCAAGGTTTTTAGCCTTCGAGAGCTAACTAAGGCCATCGAGGACTACGAAGCGTCCCGTGGCTGTTTTTAGCATGATAACAAGTAAAGCATTCGAGGAAACGTTCGTTTATTTGAATGTCCATCGAGCCATAAGCAATTTACTCTGAGCAGCTAATCAGATGCTACAGATCTTCAGTATCTACACACATAGACAGTGAGGTCCCTCTTGGCCAATCGGAGGCCAGGATGATGCTCGGTAAACCAATGGCAGAGCAGCTATGAGTATGTTGAGTCCAGGAAACATCGTTCACGATGTAAACCAGTGTGGCGGTTGCTGTTGCGTTTTTTCGAGCGAAGCAGTAGAGGTCGCTGTTGGATAAGACTTCGTTGTAGTGAATGTCTTCGCGAGGCTGGAGCAGAGAAAATGATTTAGTGTAACCGTTACACGAAATCATTTTCTCTGTCACGCAACAGGGGGGTTTTCGTCGTAAGGGGGGCAGCAGAATGGGAATTGTGTTAATGCCTGAAGATTTTTTCACATAAGGGGGTATTTTCGCCCATG